TTTCATAATATGCATTTCCAAAGACTTTCTGAATTATTCTCATAAATATTATAATAATGTATATATATAAATTATATATTATTGTCTTGAATTTAAAAAGTAAATTTAAGCATCAGCTGGGTGAAATAGCTTACCAAGTTTTCAAAACCTAGTAAATTATAGAATAGTAAACTCTCTGTTAATAATCATAGTAAAGTATATCAGACTATAATGCCCATTTCTAAAATATCCTCTCCAAATCAGAAAAACATTCACAAATAGCATGGAGAATAAATCACTTCTGTCATCAGACCACAATCTACCCCTCTTACTAGGAGTATTTATGTGTGTGTGTTGGGGTCGGGGGAGTCAAGATCTTCCTTCCCCTAAGCTTTGCTGACATCTCCTGATGAGATTCTGGTCTCCTATGTAGAGGTACATTATTTGGTTAGTTTAATGATACTTTCTAAATTTTCTAGAGTCGAGATTTGGCTTCCAATATATGAAGTTTGTTGATTTTCGAGTCTCTAGTCTCTCCTTTCCTCACCATACTTCACTGCTTCCTGCTTTTCCCAATTCAGTTGAATTCATGGACCACCTGGAATTCATTCAATTTTTCCATTTTGTAATTAACAATAAAAATTATAGGCCTAGTATACTCTAGGCTGCTTCCATGGATGAAAAACAAATGCAAATAAAAAGGATATCTGTCAAATTCCAAGTCTACCTGCTGTCTCTGGGTTCCTAATCGACTGTTCCAAGTTCTCATTCCATCTCTCTTTCTCTTTCTGTGTCTCATTTGTGTGTTAATCTCTCAAGGTCACGTTATGATAATTTGCATTATTCTTCTTTATTATTTTAATTTGATTTTTATATGACAATAAATACACACAAAAACAAGAGTAAAAGAAAGACAAATACAAGAAGAATTATCACTTGCAATCTCTATACAAAAGTAACAATTTGTATCAAAACTGAAATAGCCTACAAACTTCTTTATCTATAGCAACACTTTCTATCAATAACTCAAAGCTCATATATTCAATCAACTAACATCCTAATCTATATAAGTCAGTTGGGAGACTCATGTGCAGCACTCATGTGGGAGACCTGCTAAACCTCCTGGCTCCTGGCTTTGAACTAGCCTAGGTATTGTGGTTGCAGCCATTTGGGGAGTGAATCAGCGATGTCTCTTCGCTTTCTCTCTGTCTCTCCCTCTCTCCCTGTAACTCTGACTTTCAAATAACTAAGTCTTAAAAAAATAAAATGAACAGAAACTTACATTCAGCTTGTGGAAGTACAAAATGTGTGACAAATATTCATGTGATACTAGGGCCTTGAAATTGTTCATAGAAAATGTGTACTATGAAAGAACTATGCATACATTTAAAAATTTTTCATACCAAACTATCTTTACTTTTCATTCCATTTTTACATGTTTTTTTGAATTCTCATTGTATCAATTATACGTGTGTGTTTTCAATAAATGATGAATATGGGAGATATATTAGATAAGGAAACATTGAACATTTCTTATAGGGAACTAAAATTTTTCTTTTTCTTTATCCTCAAATTGCTTCACCACATTACTAAATCTACCAGAGTTTATGAAAATGTATTATATCTCATCTTGGGCCACATTTGGGAAAAGTGGCAAAGTTTCTCTTGAAACTATAATTCACAAAGCAAGGGAAATTTCATATTCACAATCACTAATGATTAGCAACAATGAAAGGAAGAGCTGCCTTGAACCTGGCAGGATCCTGTCTTTGGGGAATCTCCAGGTTGGCAGGGGATGTGCAGGGCCATGCTGGTAATGTTGACCACTGAGCTCAATTTTATGCTTTTGTGAAAAAATGTTTGTTCAGTAGGCTTTGACTAATTTCCTTTGGGAAATCAAGTCAGTACAATCTGTAGGAAGTGCTCAATTTTTTATGTTTAAAGGCAGAATTCCACAAAATTAACACTTTGCAAGTATTATCACAACTAGGACAATATACACTCCAATACTCACAGGTATACAAATCACTTGTATATGTGTGATATCATTCTTAAACACAATTGCTGTTAAATACAATAAGTATTAAATATGAATTTTTATGGAACCTTTAAGAACCTTTAGGAGCTATCAAAACTATGGTTCAGGGAAGGACAAAAATGAAACTGCTCATTTAAAATAATTTAAAAATCCTCGTGAGCTCATTTACTTTAACAGGAGAAGTTATTATGTCTACAGCAATATGTCCATTCATGATTGTATATTACCTATGTAAAGCCATTTTTTTTAAAAAGACAATCTGTACTATGACTTTTTAAAAATATATATTTTTGTTTATTTGAAAGGCAGAGTTACACAGAGAGGGAGAGACAGAGATCTTTCATCTGCTAGTTCACTCCCAAGATGGTCATGACTGCCAGGGCTGGGCCATGGAGAAAGCCAGGAGCCAGGAACATCATCCAAGTCTCCAGAGATGCCAGGGGCCCAACCACTTGTGCCATCTCCTATTGCCTTCCCAGGCACACTCACATGGAGCTAGATCAGAATTTGAGCACACAGTTTAGACAGGGAGCACGGGTCCATGCAAATACATTTATAAATGCATATATAACAGCTGGTTTCCTCAGTTTCCCATTTTTTTTCACATTTTCTTCCAGTCAGGGACATCCTTTTAAAGACCTGTTGAGCCTATGTGCCTGGCTTATTGGACAGTTTTGACTCTGCTTTTCAGTCCTTAGTGATCGCTACTAGAAATATGACTTCCTGAATCGTTCTGTTTCTTCCTTTCCAATCCTCCCCTTCCAAACCGCATAACCCTCCAACAAGAAAATCAACATACATATATTCAGATAAGCATGATTAGTGATAAAAAGGATTTTTACTGATGTTATCTATTATTTCAGCATTCCAAAAGAAAGAGGAGCAGCCCTCGTTAATATGAGTCCTGAGAATCAATAGGATCTTGGTAAAATGCGAATTTCCATGCTATGCACTCCCAAGAATTCTGATAGAGCAGGGCAGAAATATTCCATTTTAGTGAGCTTCTTAATGGACTTTGATATAATTTGCCTGCAAGACACTATGAGAAATCTTGCTTCACAAACTGCCTTCTGATCTGGTATCATTCACATTTGCTCAGTCTAATCGAGATAGTTCAACTCCAACTATATAGATTAGTCACTGACAAATGGTGGTTGATTACAGTGATTTGCTCTGGCAGACAGCTCAACTGTCAGGAGTTTTTTAAGTTATTTTTTTTCACCCATGAAACTACAAGACTCACAATAATATGAAACAACCACTGATTAGTTTTAGAGTTTCTGGGTATATATATGAAACAACTTCTTCTGATCCATAGTATAATACTAAGGACAAAGTAGCAAGGGTCATATAAAAAATAAATAAATGGAATGAAAAAAATTTAGGCTGCATCTTGGAAGTACTTTGGGTAAAGTATTATTTTTGCAAAGGCATTTTATTCAAGGAACAATGTGAACATGTTTGAAAGAAAGACTAAGGGGGGCTATTTTTAAAAAGTAAAGACCACTGCAATCATTGTAATTGAGGTCATAGGATATCCAAAAAATATTTTTTTTTTGACAGGCAGAGTGGACAGTGAGAGAGAGAGACAGAGAGAAAGGTCTTCCTTTGCCGTTGGTTCACCCTCCAATGGCCGCCGCGGCCAGCGTGCTGCGGCCGGCGCACCGTGCTGATCTGAAGGCAGGAGCCAGGTACTTCTCCTGGTCTCCCATGGGGTGCAGGGCCCAAGCACTTGGGCCATCCTCCACTGCACTCCCTGGCCACAGCATTTTGAAAAATTATCTTAGTATTTTGGGGGTATTTAGAGAAAGGGAGCATAATGATGTACAACATATGTTGTAAATTCCTAGCAATTATGTCCATGGGAAATTTCTTTCTTAATTTTCTCAACATTTTTCAAACTAAATAGAATTAAGTCACCAGGTTAATAGAAGTATCACAGTACAGCTCTTTTCCTTGAGTAGAGGTAAGCACAGTTCATTTCCATTAGGTTTGATTGAGGGTTTTCATTTGCTATGGTTTGAATAGAATTCAGCTCCTGAACTCCTACAGATGTTTAACAACAAAGTCACATGGTCTTGGTACTAAGAGGGTGGGAACTTAGTCCAATTTTGGTGATGCAGGTGAGCTTCGGGGGGGTCCTTAGGTCTTTGGAGGCATGACCTTGGAGGGTAGTTCTTATGAGAGGGTTGGTTATAAAATCTGAGTGGGGCATATAGCCGTAATCTCTTTTCCTGGCTCGCCTGTGATCCTTTCTTTGGCCACTTTCCCTCTTACTATATGCTACTCTATGATACCTCAGGACTCTGCCAGCAAGAAAATCATCACCAGATGCCAAACAACAGGGTTGCCTGATCTTTTACAGCGAACCTCCAAAGCCATGAGCCAACATAAGCTTTTTTCCTTTATAAGTAGCTTATCTTAGTCCCTTCTTTGTAGTAATGAAAAGCTAATGCAACATTTAAATTAAATCCTAGTGCACTCAATGAAAAATCCATAAGGAAAAGTAAACATGTTTACCGAGTTTTATACATAAGAATAGCACAGTTTATAATGCGAGGGACTAAGATTGTATGTGAAACACTTTAATCTGTGTATCAAACTGAATTGTGAGATTACTTGAGACAACTGATGGGGGGGGGCAGGGTACTTTTTCTGCCAAGGGCCATTTAGAAATTTATAACACCACTCACAAGGAAGATAAAATTATCACCTTTAAAATTGGCCTGCTATAGCTTTATTGAATTTTGAGTCCTGACTACGGTTGCCTTCCTAAGGTCAGACCAAGTGATTTTGTGTGCCTAATGTGGGCTGTGGGCTGGACGTTCCCCACAGCTGCATCAGATCATCATCCAACACTTAACACATTTTCAATGTTAGTAAGTGAATTTACCAAAATGCTACCTCTTATGAAAGAGCAGCACCAATCTGATAGTGTTAACTTTACTCAGAAGTTATCTTGATATAAGCTAATGAGACTTACAGTTGACGACAACTTTTACTTTTCTCACATCTGGGAATGACACATCGTTTTCAGCACTGCATTCATATTCCCCAGCCTGGTCCCGGGTGATTCCATAAATGTCCAAATATTGTCCATTTTCAAATGGTTTGGCTGCAAAAAAAAAAAAATACAGCATGTTTAATTCTAGCTGCCTGAGGCATCATTCAAGTAAAACAACAATCTCCTGACTTTCTACTATATGCTGCTGACAAAACAATTCCAAATGAAACTGGGGAATTATTAAACTCTTTGTTCTCTCATGTTCAGAGGGAAACTCAGAGAAAAAAGCAGAAGCAGAACAAGGGATACCATAACAACTGTTTCCCCAGAACAGGATATACATGTGTTCTTTTTAATTGATTGTGGTCTCCTAACCTCCTCACACATCAAATAGAGCTCTGCACATTTCTGTAATTGAGTTCAACAACCTCCTAGCAGTGTGGATGAAATTCACTAATATGGGTTGGTACATATTGACTTTTATACAGTGTGAGCCAGCAACTTGACACTTAACCTAACTAAATGTTACTTTTCATTTGGAGAAATCTCCTACCCATATTCAATGTTTCAAGCCAGATGGTTTGATAACAGTATAGAGATATATTAAACCATTGTCATATTTTCCTTCCAAAATTATTAATGTGGCTAAGAAAGGTACGTTGTATACACAAAATATAAATCACTCAACAAATCTCATAAAAATGGTTGATGATTGTAAAACTAAGTGTTAAGATGTCATAAAAACAAACTACAGTTTAATTTTTTTTATATTCTAGGAGACTCATTCTCTGCTTCACTAAAAATAGCCATAGATTAAAAACACAAATAAATAATCACACATGAAAGACTATCCCCCAGTGAATGAAACTTTGAAAAAGATTCTTTACTTTAATAATGAAATGTTTATTTATGTGGAAGCAGAGAATCATTGGGCACAAAGGATCCTGATTATCAGAAGGATGGCAAAGGAGAATAAATCTATGCAAATTTCAAGATGGGAGACTCTGCTGCCTCTTTGCATGGGCCTTAAAAAAAATCACATTTCAATGCATACCAAATGAAACTAGGAAATGAAGCAATGCTTTCATTAAAGGTATGTTTTCAAAAGTCAATGTTACTTTTGTCTTCAAATTACCATCTTACCAAAACTACTGTAGGGAATCAGAATTTAGAAAACAAGTCAGAACAGTGGATTTTAATGATTTAAAAAAATGAAATTTGTTTGCAGCCCTCCAAGTCTAAAATCCATGTTAACTAAGGTTTTCTCTTTGTGTGCTCCCTTTTCTGGCTCCATATGAGTGTGGGCTGTTGCACAGTCTGCCCTCAAGGTAACTATGGCTTAGATAGTAGAAAGTTAAGTGTCTACAAAATGTGTAATTACCTCATTTCTCCCATTTACATGTCTGATTCCAAGTTACAGATAGAGGGAAGTAAAACTTCTGAGATGGAAGTTAATTGATACATGATTTCAGGTGTCCAAATGCAAGATTGTGAAAGTAGCAGTTATTCTCGAAGTCCATATTCTTAAATATGACTTTATAATCATTTTTGCTCTTCTTAGTTCTCTAATCTAATTTCAGTACACAATACAGAATTTATGTCTGTATTATTCTCCCTTTTTTCTCTTATTTTCATCTTTACAATGAGGATGTTCTAGGCATAAATGTATCCTTAAGAAATACTGAATTAAGGGAAAAATACCTATTCATATCCAATAATTTTTAAAGTATACTTGAATTGTGAAGAACAACAGAAGAATAACTTGAAGTCTGGAGAACATTCATATATGAGGATATCATGGAAAATAGAACTAAACTTTACAATTATTTTGGTACTGAATTTTTTGAAATCCATGCATGTATTTTCTCATAATGCACATGTTTTCATGAACTTTCTGAAGACCCTTCATATTGTACCAGAGTGAGTGACCCTGTTGGGTGGTACAAAACAAATCCAATCAACAGTGAAAAGGTATACTACTGTTAACTTCTGTAAAAATTAATCTATTATGTTTAACTTATTTTTAATACTAAAATGTTTCTTAAATATTCTTAGTTCTGTATTTTAATCCAATTTTAAGAAGCATTACCTCAAAATACATGCCTTTGTTAACAGGAATACAACGTGACCTATTTGAATAATGAACTATTATTTAACCTTTAAATATGTGATTAATGTGGTTCATTTCAACACACAGGAATATATATTTATTATTTCTTAAATCTTATTTATTTACTTGAAAAAGTTACAGAAATAGAGGCAGAAAGATCTTGCATCTTCTGGTTTACTCCAGAGGTTGGAACTCTGTCTGGGTCTGCCATATGTGTGGCAGAGACACAAACACTTGGGCCATCTTCCACTGCTTTCCCAGGCACATTAGCAGGGAGCTGGATTGGAAGTAGAGTAGCCAGGGAGCTAACTGTTACCCATATGGGATGCCAGCATTGAAGGCTGCTGCTTAACTTGCTGCACCACAATGCTTGCCCCATGTATTATGATTATTTTTATAGTTTATATATGGCAAAAATATGTATTATAGATTTAAAGATATTAAAGATAGGAATAAACACATTAGATTTGTGTATCTCCAGGAACCAAAAACATTTAATGAAAAGTGAGAAACAATAGATGCTCAATTCAGGAAGAAGCAGACATTCTCTATCCTAAAGGGCTAAGTAGCACACTGAAAGATAGGGAGCCATTGCAAGAAGCTTTTTGACATAATATCACCAATATCAGGATCCTATGCTGACTGACATGAGGAATTCCAGGGAGCACTGCTCAAGACTGTTGAATGCTTGTACCTGTAATTGATTGCACAATCTTCATAAACATATTTAGAGATCTTTTTCCATACCAACCATAGGATTAGGTCTGTATTTACAGCTATTAGAATTACTATGGTTATAATGGTTATTACTATGGTTATGAGCTGCATAACTCACTAACTGTAGAACCAGTGAATGGATGATATTGCCAACATTATCAATGATATTAGTGTAAAGACACTTAGAAGAAACAAAGCATAAGAGCATGTCAGCATCTTATTTCTCTTCACTAAATCTGTGGTACGTTAAGCCAGCTATAGGCATTCTATTATTTTTATGCACATAACTCTGTTTCCGCCTTCAGCTTATCCTTCCTCTGTTCTCAGTCTGATCTTACCAAATTTGAATTCTAGATTTGAGTTTAGTTTCCTCACCCAGGGTATATACTCTGGAGTGTACTAGTTGTTTGTAATTTGCTTGGCTACTCTTTGGTTTTATTTCCATCTGTTTTCTATATATAAACCCTTTATCATCTGGATGCAAGACCAATCCTTTCTTTTAACACTTAGATTAGACCTCTTTGCAATCACTCCCCTCTGAGATAAAAGGATTTGGCCATAATATATTAAAATAAAGCATAGAGTATTTCAATTCATATATGCAGTGTAACTCTGCCTAGTTCTGAAAATAAAGCAAAGAGACCAAGGCTGAAGTGATAATAGAGAACTAAACACACAAGGACCATCACCATAGTCAAAATTTTGCAGTTTTTATAAGGAGTAGATAGAATCCTAGGTAGCCACTATAAATATAGACATTGTGAGATATCTTCCCCCAGGGTAAACTGTGCACAAATTATAAAGTTAGATGAAACATAAACACATTGTAATATGGCAGTCCTCCAATGGTCTTTGGCTTTACCAATCTCCACCAGTAGAACAAAAATTTCTATTTTGCTCATCTTTTTGTCCTGAGGTCTAACATAATGACCAAAACATATATTTTATAAATATTTATTGAACAATATATAAATATATTGATAAGTGAATTAATAAAGCCCTGTAAGATATGAACACAAAGAATCTAAGCTAAAGTAAATGCTTACACCTTGTGAAGTTGTGAAGAAGGAAAGAACTTTAAAAAGAGTTGTCATCCTTGCTGACACCTTGAAGTGATAGGTGGGAGTAGGGTGAGGCCATACTCTATAGTTACCATAGTTCCTTTTTAAGTTGATAGAGCCTAACAGAAACATTAAATGCAATTTTGAGGGAAAGATATAGGTACTGCCTATAATTTCAACAGTAATTTCCATTGTGCATACTACATCACAAGTGTAGTCCTTTCTCAAGATAAGGAGGACTCAAGAAATTTCACAAGCTTTTATTTACACAACTATTACCACCACCTTCAGAGAGGAATGTAGCTATGATTTATAATATCTTTCTGTTCCTATTTCTGATAAGAACCTGGCCAGAGAAAAGTTCTATATTAGGCATTAAATGGTATCTTGGTTTCACTTTATGGTTAGGTAAGGTATGCGAACTTACCTTATGCTACCTAAAAATTATTTGTGAAGTAACAGTAATTCTTTAGAATGTTCATATATTTCAGAAAAAAATGACAAAGTGTTTTCCATTAACTTTTAGGCTATTGTTCACTACTTTTCATCTCACCCTCTGATCCTTTCCTTTCACTTTACCTATATTCTTCACATATTCACATCTGTCAAACACTGTTTCTCCATGTGGCCCTTTCCCCCTTCCTTCATTCAGAGTCTTTCAGGGGATCTTGTTCATTCATGTGTATATCATTACTGATGGTGTATCGTCAAGTCCCTGATGGATCAATAGATAGATAGATAGATGATAGATGGATAGATGGGTAGATGATAGAAAAATCTTGACTATGTTCTACTGGACATCCCCATTTGAATGTGTCACAGTCATCTCAAAGTCACCACAGCTAAAACAAGCTCTGTTTTCCTACCTTAATTGCTATTCTTTTTGTGTTCCGCAGCTCAGTGAGTGCCTAGAGCATCACCCAATTGCTTAAGTCAGAAGTTTTAGCATTAATATTGACAATACTTTCTACCTCGGTTGTCTATGAGTCGCTGTGTCTTGTCAGTTTTATATTCTAAGTAATTCTGAAACCTGTTCGAGGGCCACTGTGTCTTGGTTACTGATCTCAGAAGGCCCATACCCATGGGGTACGCCAATGACTTCAGGCTGCTTTGCAGAGGCACTGCAATCATTTCCCATAAACCTTGCCCAGAATAAGATACTTCATTGTACAAGATGCCCTGCAGGAAGATATATATTGTTAGGATATCACAACAATTTATGA